CAGCCTGGAGCTATGGGAAGGTGAAATGGCGTGGAGCAAGGAAGGAAGACTGATTACTTTCAGGGGCGTAGCGAGACCTCGGTTATAGGGAGGGGGGGGGGGGTGAGGAATGGATGACCATTTTCCCGCCAAATCCACAGGATTCCCGCATTAATTAATTAAATTTTGGCGACGAAAGCATTTTGGGGGGGGGGACGCTCCACTCGTCCCTCCCTCCCTACGCTAGTGTTTACCTTGACAAGCTGTCGTCGTTCTATACCATCTGAGCCGACACAAGAGATAATCTTGGGCAGATTAATCCCACCAGCTAGACAGAAGGTTGGCGAAACACGAGCGATGTACACRATATCATCGTAGTTACACAATGGATCCACCTGTAGACACAACAGGGTTAGTCCTTCATGGAAGAACACCTTAATGCAACGCTTATGGTTTTCTTGATAATACAATTTTAGTGTTCCTACATGAGGTATTCCCCGAGAAGTGAGAAGATATTCATAGGCTAAAGATTATAAACTTGGACCCAAAATAAGGGGTTAATAATTGAAGCATGTGTGCTAATTAATATAAACTCTTAAATAACTTGTTAACTTGTGACAGATGACAAATGTTAAATTGAGAAATAAGGATTGGGAATAGCAGACTAGTCCCAGACAACGCGGCCAGGGAAAGCTGAAAGAGATTGACAACWAGGGAACACAAATTTGAGCCTAGGCAAGAGCTTGGAAACCAGAGAACGCGTATCTTTAATCGAGATCTAGAAATTMTAGACAAGACTCAACAGAGTGAGGAATGAAACACCGTTCTAAAAATTCTGGCTGGAAAGTTATTTGGGATATATTGAGCAACAGGAATACTAGGAGAGGATAAAGWCCTACCTTGATATCAAGTGTTGGTACGGCTACGTGGTTTATATTAGACAGCTTCTTGATCATCAGGTGATTGGGTAGATTGAAAGGACCTTAAAAAGAACAATCRAATACACGACTGATTTGTGAATCACTTTCATTGTTTCAAAAAACAAAASAAAAAAATCTTGTCATCGCTTATCACCAACGCAAGTACAGCAGTAGCGCAGCTCAACGGGGTCGAACTGAAAGCATTCAAGTGAAGGCGCCTCTGGCAGCCGCTATCCAGTCCATGTATGACCCCGGAGCACAGCTCTAACCAGTTTGAATTAGTTAGGGTTGAACGCGAGCTGTGTGCGCGCTAGACTCCTTCGCCAGTGACTCCTTGATTTGGATTGTTTCTTGATAGTTTCTTTGGCGGGCTACATGCGGTGTAATGATTAATGTTACCGAGAGAGACTGTGGAGACTTCTTCCTCTTTTATCACACAGGGATCCTAAGCGTCTTAGAAAGTAAAATAAGAGAGACGCCTGGGAAGGGTTCTAGTTCCAGGTCTTCGCTAAAAACGAAAAATACGAAGCAGTCTGGTCTAGCTTATGTAAACAACACTATATAAGGCATAATAAACAWTTATACYCAAGCTAGACCAGAATGCACCATGSTTACAATTTCAGGAAGGTTTTTGCCTTGAGTAATGTCATTCCATAGACTATTATTTTTTGTTTARCGKGTTRYACATKAGAARACACATGAATAYGGATACAACTCMAACAAAGAATYTTATYCWCAAGRGARTGACACRTGGTCTGAAATGGGAAAAACATTACGCCCAAGTGTATTTGATCCATACCTGTTTCTTTCTTCAGGTGGTTTACATCGAGGTACGCCAGCTCTATGTACGCGTTGCAAACATKTTTAGTCATTTCGACCAATTCCCCACGATGTAGCGATATGTTTTGTATCAGACTGGTGGCAGCTTCTAGGCGAGCCTGTGGAAGAGAAGAC